TATTTGTGACTCTAATCTGCTAAATAGGAAAGCCAAATAGCATTGCATAAACCTGTTTGGACTATTGGGTCCAAAGCCTGGAAGGCAGCCCATCTGGGAGAAGGAAAACTCTGATTTCAAACCTCCACTGCCTTGTGGCTATATCCACTGGTGGAAAAGGCTTCAGGCGTTAACCTCAAGGCAAAATGCAGAGCCGGAGTCCCGGAGGCAGTTCGTGTCGTTCTGGCAACTCCTGCAACATCGCTGGAACCAGTTGTATTGGCTCTTGCCTTTCCATTGGACTATTTCAGTGACATGGAGAGGATGCATTTGCTGCTTGGGTAACAGCCTATCCTCCATATTATTTTACCAGGCTTCATGCTCTGGAGAGGACACTCCAGCTTTGCATACAGTGTCAAAATAACATGGGAAATAGCAGTTACTGGTTATAAGCCTTTGCTCAATTGGCATAGAGCATGACGCCAGGGGCTACTTCCGACAGTGGGAGAGGTCACTGCACTTCACTAGGAAGGGTAAAAAACGACAAGCAGATCGATAACCCTGCACCATGCAACAATCATAAGAAAACTTCTTCCCTAAAGTTGGGCACCTGGAATGTTCGGACAATGACCCCTGGCTTTTCTGACAACCTGTGGGAAATAGACGACGTGCGTAAGACAGCTGTCATTGACATGGAACTGAGTAGACTGTAGATGGACATTGTTGCCCTGCAAGAGATGAGATTGCCAAACGTGGGATCTGTCAAAGAAAAAAACTTCTTTTTCTTCTGGCAGGGAAAACCATTGAATGAGATCAGGGAATATGGTGTTGGCTTTGCGGTCAGAAATACTCTGCTGAGAATCATTGTTCTATCTATGGTGGGGAGTGAAAGAATCCTGTCTCTACAGCTCCACTCATCAGCGGGACTGGTCACCCTCCTTAGTGCATATGCACTAACACTGTCATACACAACAGAAGTCAAAGACAAATTCTATGACGATCTGGCAGCTACTGTCAAACAAGTCCCTGAGAGAGAGCCACTATTCATTCTCAGAGACTTTAACACTAGAGTTGGTGCTGATCACAACTCTTGGCCAACCTGTCTAGGCTATTTTGGCATTGGAAAGATGAACGAAAATGGCCAACGCTTGCTGGAGTTTTGCTATTATTATGGTCATTGTGTCAGCAACACGTTCTTTAATACAAAGCCTCAACACAGAGTTTCCAGGAAACATCCAAGATTGAAGAATTGGCATCAGCTCGATTTGATCCTCACTAGACATTCTAGCCTTCCTAGTATTATGATCACACAGTTACCAAAGGGCTGATTGCGATACTGATCACTCCCTGGTGTGTAGTAGAGTAAAACTGCGAACAAAGAGATTGTATCACACAAAAAAGGAAGACCACATATTGACATCAACAGGACTCACAATCAAAGAAAAGTATAGGAATTTGCCCAAGCACTTGAGGAAACCCTTCCAGGACCGGCTGATGCAAATGCACCTGAACGATGGGAAAATTTCAAGAGCACTGTTTATAACACCGCCTTGTCCACATTTGGCAATAAGACTAAAAAGACAGCCAACTGGTTCGAAGCCCATTCGAAGGAGTTGATGCCAGCTGTCGAGGACTAAAGGACAGCTCTAGCAGCATACAAAGCCTTCCCTAGTGAGTACAACTTGCAGGCTCTTCAAGCTGCTCGGAGCCAAGTCCAACAGGCTGCCAGGAGATGTTCCAACGATTATTGGCTTCAGCTCTGCTGTCAGATACAGATAGCAACGGACACAGGTAACATCAAGGGAATGTATGACGGTATCAAGCAGGCTTTAAGTCCAATACAAAAGAAACTGCTCCCTTGAAGTCTGCTATAGGCATGATCATCCAGGACTGAGCACAGCAGATGGAATGCTGGGTGCAGCACTATTCTGAGCTATATTCCAGAGAGAATGTAGTAACCAAAGAGGTATTAAATAACATTGAGTGCCTGCCTGTCTTGGAGAGCTGGACAGTGAACCAACTTTAGCAGAAATAAAAGAGGCCTTGGATTCCCTCGCTTCTGGCAAGGCACCTGGGAAGGATAACATCCCTGCTGAAGTGCTGAAGTGCTGTAAAGAGATCATCATCACCAAGCTGTATGAAGTATTTTGTCTTTGCTGGATGAAAGGTGGAGTACCGAGGACATGAAGGATGCAAACATTGTCACATTGTATAAGAACAAAGGAGACAGGGGTGACTGCAATAACTACCGTGGTATCTCTCTTCTCAGCATTGTAGGGAAGCTGCTGACCCATGTTGTGCTGAAGAGACTCCAGGTGCTTGCAGACAGAGTCTATCCAGAATCACAGTGTGGATTTTAAGCTAATAGATCCACCTCCACCATGGTATTTTCCCTCAAAGAGTTGCAGGAGAAATGTAGGGAACAACAACAGCCGTTCTTTGTGGCCTTCATAGATCTCACAAAGGCCTTTGATTTGGTTAGCAGGGATGGCCTTTTTAAAATAATTCCCAAGACTGGATGTCCACCTTGACTCCTTAACATCATCAGGTCCTTTCATGAGGAAATGACGGTCACTATAGTTTTTGATGGCTCAACATCAGATCCCTTTGCATTCTGAAGGAGAGTAAAACAAGGCTGTGTCCTCGTGCTGACCCTGTTTGGGATCTTTTTTGCTGTCATGCTGAAGCACACCTTTGGAACTGCAACAGAAAGTGTCCATCTTTGGACTAGATCAGATGGAAAGCTCTTTAATCTCTCTCAATTGAGAGCAAAGACCAAAGTCCAACTGAAATGCATGCAGAACTTCCTTTTCACTGATGCAGCCATTGTTGCCCACTCTGCTGAAGACCTCCAACTGTTCGATGGTCAAACAATCTAGATGTAAATTTCTAAGGGGAAGAGCCTCCAGCACACAAACTTGTTTACCTGTTTGTTTGCATACTAACCAATTAGAGGGAGTTTGTTGTTCCCTGGTCAGGGAAACTCCATCCCCATTTCCTGCCCTTCTCGACGTGAAGTGTTTGAACCTCCATTGTTGTCCACCATTCTTGCACATGCTCTTCACCTGGAAAGATGTAAGAACTCCATGCTGGCTCACTGAGCCTGGAGATCTCTCCAGCCAAGTGGGCCAAGGACAAGGACATTGCCTTTGCTACTTTTGTTCTTTCTATATCGACCTGAAACCTTCTGAATGCTTATCTACGTGGGTAGAATATAGAATTCTTTCTTTAATACAAAAACAGCCTCCTGGGTGTTATTCTTAAGTGCTAGTGTTTGGTGAGGGGCGGGTAGTCAAAGGGAACTTCTAGCTAATTTTGCCCAGCCGGCTGGTACTTCCTGCTGCGCATTTTAGTGGAATTCAAGCGAGTTCCCATAACTCTCAACACCAACAACACATGAATCATTTTAGCAAGGCCTGCCAAGACTTTGAAATAACAATCAGCCTGAAGAAAACACAAGTCATGGGCCAGGGTGTGGACTCGCCTCCCTCTATCTCCACGCAAGAATTGGAGGTTGTTCATGACTTTGTGTACCTTGGCTCAACAATCTCTGACACTCTCTCCCTAGATGTCAAGCTGGATAAACGCATTGGCAAAGCAGCTACCATGTTCTCTAGACTCACAAAGAGAGTATGGCTTAATATGAAGCTGATGGCATACACCAAGATCCAGTTCTATAGAGCCTGTGTCCTGAGCACACGCCTGTACTGCAGTGAGTCCTGGACCCTTTGTGCACAGCAGGAGAGGAAGCTGTACACCTCCCATATGCATTGTCTCCGACACATTTTTGGTATCACCTGGCAGGACAAAGTTCCTAGAATGAGCTGGAATTTTTAGCATGTCTACATTACTGTAACAGCGCTGTCTACGTTGGCTTGGGCATATTGTGAGAATGGCTGATGGTCGGATTCCAAAAGATCTCCTGGATGGAGAATGAGTGCAGGGAAATCACCACAAAGTGAGACCACAGCTGTGATACAAGGATATCTGCAAGCGGGATCTGAAGGCCTTAGAAATGGACCTCAACAGACCTCAACCTTGACATCTGAGCATTCAGCCTGGGGGCAGGCGGTGCATCATGGTCTCTCCCAATTTGAAGAGACCCTTGTCCAGCAGGCTGAGGCAAAAAGGCAGTCACGAAAACAGCAAAATCAGGGAGCTGGACAGGGGACAGATTGTAGTTGTCTTTAGTGTGGAAGGGATTGTCATTCTCAAATTGGCCTTCTCAGCCACACTAGACACTGCTCAAAGTCATCTATTCGGAGCACATTACCATAGTCTCTTGAAACAGAAGGATGCCTACTACTATTTTTAAGGGATATAGGGACTGCTAGTTTTTCCTAAAGCATATGGTCGCACAAAAGATCTAGACCTTAAAGCAAACTTCCCCAGTCTAGTGTCTTCCAGACAACACGAATGTCACACACATATTGTGTTTGCTGAACCTCTTCTGAAACTTGTTCTAATGATTAATTTCATGTCATAAGAGAACTCCATTCAGTTTCTGGAAACAGGCTCAAGCGAAGTACTCTCATGCACCTTTCATTAACCTTACTCTTCCAATGGCCAGGAATGTCACAATGCCTTTCCAGGAGATGCTTACAAAAATTCCTATCTATTCATGTTTAGAAAGTAGCCAGTTGCCCCCATTAAATATAACTCCCAGTTAAAAATCGGCAGGATTGCATTCTTGGAATCTTCTGCTTATTATGCGAAAGTCCACGTGTGAATGCTGTCGACACGTGAACGAATAGGTACCGTTTTAAAAAATAATAGATTTAATTTTGCATTAACGATATAGGTTGTGCGTGTGTGATGGGGTGTACACAAAAGGCGCTCTCGCTTGCTCCCGCTCTCTCCGGTTATAGTACTCTTACGCTTGCTGACAGAAAACGACCGCGCCGAAATTGACCTTCTCAAGATGGCGGCTGGGGTCGGCTGTATAAAATGGCAGCGAGAAGGAACCTAGATTGCCTCTACCAGCATGGCCGCAGTTCTTCCTCTCTCGGAAGGTAGTACTTCCGGCGTGTGCTTTTCCTTTCTCGCTCGCTCACTCGCTATGGCCGCTGCGGGTCTGTCAGATGAAAAACTGCGGGCGGAGTTGCTGGCCCTCGGTTACCAGCCGGGCCCGATTACTGATTCCACCCGCAAACTCTACGCCAAGAAGCTCACCCGCCTGAGGGCTGAGGTGGCCGCTGGGCTAAGGAGTCGCGGCAGTAGCCGAGCGCAGCCTCAAGGCCCGAACAGCCTTTCCAGGCCGAAAGCGGCCGCCGGTGGCCGCCCCAAAGCGACTGCCCCGGTTAGGAGAGAGGAGGAGGAGGAGGACGAAGAGGGGGAGGAAGAGGAGGAGGAGAGCGACAACGAGCCGCTCGGCATGGGGGCGGCGTTAGGGGGGCGAGGGACGACTGCGAGAAATCACTGGGATACAAAAGAGCCTGGGGTGATCCCCGGGAAAGCCCCGTTGACGAGCGGGGAAAGGGGGATCCCTAGCAGCGGCCCCTGGGGAGGGAGTCCTGGGCTCCCCTCCCGGAGGACCCGGTTGGAGGCAGGAGCGGGGTTGCCATCCCCGTTTCAAAGGGATGCAGCGGCCGTCGGGAGCTTCACGTCGAGGCCCTATTGGGCTGCAGCCCCCACAGAAGGAGGGCTAGGCTCGGGCTCGAGCAAGTGGTGGGAGAGGGAGCCCAGCACGAGTCCCGGCGCTTCTTGGGACTTCGGAACAGGAAGCAACAACCTAGCGGTCAGTAACCGGACCTACTTGGGGACCGAAAGCGGAGCGAGCCCCAGCTCCTCCTCCTCCTCCTATATGGGTTCAGGAATAGGAGTTGCTGGAGAGCGGTTAAGCTACAGATCTCCGTGGAGAGCAGAGAAAGAGGAAGGGTTGGCCTCCAGAAGTTCCAGATCTGTGTGGGAGACCGGGGCAGAGTTGGGTCGGGGCACACGCTGGGATGGGACGCATCAGCCTGTGGGTTTGAAATCTCAAGCACAAGGTAGAGGAAGAAAGGGCAGAGGGTTAGAATTTTATCTCTCCTGGTTCCTGTGGTTGGCAACATTAGTGCTGTTGGTAATTTTCCTGGGAATCCTTTGGGTGAAGATGATGGGACCTGCCCAGCTGGAAGGCCCTGAAGAGAACTGTATGTGTAATACTTAACTCTCTTGTAGATATCCTTTTGTGTGGCTTTTTCTCCCCTTTCAACCCCCTCTTCCATCCATTCTTTCCCTAATAGCCTGACTATAGTTTTGTCATTTTTTAAAGTTGTTGGTTACAGAATTAAGTGGAAACAAGGAAAAGGCCATGTGCCCGCCCCCTCCAAGATTACACAAATATAAGAGTGGATGATACTTTTTATTGGACAACTAAAATAAATCCAACAAATTGCAAGCTTCTGTGGAGAAAATTCCACTTCTTCAAGCGTTCTACAACCTAGAGTGCAAAAAAAATGTAGATATTTCAATTATAGGCACTTAATTGTAGAAGTAAGTGGATTTTTATAGCTGAAGTGGGTTTCAAATCCTGCAAAGACTAATAATGGATGTAGAAACATGCTTGTCTGAGGTTAGGGACCTTTTTGATTCCTAGTATGGAATGTCCCATTGACTTTTTTTCCCCAAAGGATCTATTATATAAAAGGCACAAATATGATGATGTCTTTTATACTGACTGCCTAGCAAGTACAATGCTTGAAATGTGTATCTGTTGCACTTACTCAAGGATTAAAACAAAAGAGAAGCCTTTCTGTTACTTAAAAGGAACAAATTGCTTACTGTATTCTGCCTTGTCATCTACTCCGAAAACCTGTTGTCTTAAGTCCAGAAAGCCAGGTTGACGAAAGAAACTGAGACATGAAAGTTACAGTTAATATATAATGAATGTTAGCTTCATTGTCTAAATCCACCGTTCCAAAACCATAATAATAGTTGCTTTTGACAACTTAAGAATTCATTATCATCTTTTGGGTCATATTGTTTTGCAAAAGATTTAGAAAAAGAATATTGTTGAACACATGCAGTTATAAACATCTCCTGGCAGCCTGTTGGACTCCCTGACGCCGAGGGAGGCCTGGAAGGAAGAAACAAGAAACCGGGCCTTCTTGGCGGTGGCTCCTTGCCTCTGGAACAGTCTGGTTCCAGAGATTCATGCGGCCCCTTTGCTGGGTATTTTTAAAAACCAATTAAAAACATAGATGTTCAGGCAGGCCTTTCCCTCCAGTTCATATCTGATTCTTTTCTTTTGTGGTTTTGGTTTTTTATTTTTTCTTCCCCATCCTGAAGAACTAGCTATTTAATGTAATAATTCTTTTTTATATTTATTGGTTGTCTTATGTGTTGTAAGCTGCCTAGAGTAGTCGCAAGACCAGGTAGGCGGGATATAAATAGAATGAACAAATAAATAAAAAATAAAGGGTGCCCCCACTTTAAAAAATGATAATGATGGCAAAAAAAGTGTTTACTCTTGTGTTACAGAACTTGTCTCACAAACAGGTAGCACACATGTTCTTATTCATACAAGAAATCAGAATATCACAGATTACACATTACAGATTATTCTAAAGTTAGCAGGTGTCTTATTCTGACAGGCATAGAGAATATAAATTATTTAATGGCCAGAATTATGTTGATTTTATTGTAAGATTTGCATAACTTTGTGTGCCTAATTCTTAAGGTGTCAGGGCACATCTCAGTTGTATGCCAGGTTATTCCTCGTGTACAACTGAGATGAGCCCTGGAACCTAATAAACTATGTTTATTAGCAAGTTATTCAGACATTGTGTAAACACCAATAGTGCTTGGGGAAATTTTTTTTGTTTATACTGAGGGGACAGAATACACAGATGGGGGCGTTTAAGACCTTGATTGTGTGCATATTTTGAAAAGTCCCTTTGAACAAAGTGGGTTCTAAGAAACCTGATCAGGTTTTTCCTGCAAGTTTAGCAGATTTATAATCTTACAAAATAAATTTCATGCTAGTAATCATTTTAGAATGGATTGTGTGCATCCATGAAAGTTTAAGTACATTAAATCTATAATGGTCCAAGATGCTACAAGGTTTTTATTTTTAGAATTAAATGTTCATCTTGTGTCTTGTTTGCTATGTGTAACAACAAGTAACTAATACTTATTTCATTTTGGTTTTAGTTTTGTTGCCCGTGGATTGTGAAAAAAGTACAGATAGTGTAAGTTCTCTTGCAGCTACTAAATGTATTATTTCAGTGCTGATTTAGAAATGAGCCTCTTTTGTTTTCCAAAAGAAATGTAATTGTTTATTAATGCAGAATAGTTTTTTAAATGAAGTTAGTATAAAGAGCAGTCATTCAAACAATATAAACCTAAGCAGCTGTAAATCTGAAACTTTGCTCTTACAGAACTTTTTTTGGTCATTTATAACAAAAGTGAAATTTATCTGTGAAAAGGATTTCATCTGCAAAGCTACTTTTTGTTAACAAGCTTAAATAGAGCTGGCAGTGTGTAATCTCTGTGTATGTGTAGTAGTAACTTTTTCCATAAATCGTAGCCATATAAGATATACTTTGGCATACCATGTGCCATTAAAAAGACAGCTTTGTAGTTTTGTGTGTTTTTGCTACCAAGAATTGAGATTATATCTCTTATATGACAGATACAAGAATTAGCCGCCTAGAGTGGTCTTAACCGACCAGATAGGCGGGATAGAAATAAATAAATAAATAAACAAACGAACGAACGAACAAACAAATAAATAAATAAATAAATAAATAAATTTATTTGAGAAATCAGCAGCTAGAGATTCCACTCGATGGGCGCTGTGAATCCACTTTGGGTTTTAGTCTGTGCTTTATAGGAGTTGTCCAAGGTGATGAAACCATTCTGGGGATAGAATTCCGCACTCTGAATGGTTCCTGAAAGCAGACAAAAACATGGAATGGTTTCACAGCATCTCCAAATAAATAAATAAATAAATTTATTTGAGAAATCAGCAGCTAGAGATTCCACTCGATGGGCGCTGTGAATCCACTTTGGGTTTTAGTCTGTGCTTTATAGGAGTTGTCCAAGGTGATGAAACCATTCTGGGGATAGAATTCCGCACTCTGAATGGTTCCTGAAAGCAGACAAAAACATGGAATGGTTTCACAGCATCTCCAAAACTAGAGTCACCACCCAACAGCTGCTGTTGGTTTATTTATGATTCAAGCCCAAGCAGAGATGATCCTTTTGTTCTAGTGTTGAGATATTTTTTGTGAACTGAATATCATGAAAGGGACTGATCCATATTGAAAACCCTTCTTTATAACCTCTTGTATGTTAATGCTCACATTCCCTTGAGGGTACTCTGCCAAGAGCCACATACTAGGCTGATGTGCAGTGGAACAGGATCAGAGACAAAGTAGATGAGCCTGTGTCCCTCAACCTCACCCAATATAGCAAAGAAGCAACAGATTGCCCTTGGAGATGCCAGAACTGATCACTTACTAAGGATGGTTAAAACTGAGGTGAAGATCAAATGAAAGCAGGCTAAGGTACATCTGTCTCTTTAACTAATAACAGAATTTCAATAGTGATATTTCTATAACAAGGAAAGAAAAGAAAGAACTTTGGTGGAAAAGAGGTCAGATGAGTCCATGCTTAGCTTCATTAGCTAAAGCAGAACAGGTTGAACAATGTGCTATTTAATATCTCAGCTTAATTTATGGTAGCTTATTGAATTAAAAAAACCTATTGACTAATGTTATCTCTGACTTTCTAGTATTGTCGGGCAAAACAAGAAGAGGTTGTAATGACTATTCTGTATGAGTTATACAACTATCTCGCAATTCAAGCTGGTGAGTTGTGATTTTTCCCTGTAGAGATGGTTCAGTAGAAAGGGCATTTCTAGCAGCTGGCTATTTTCAAGCTAAATTTGAATTGGAAGACTTTGGAGAAAGTTACCTTGTTTTCCTTCAAATACTACTCAGGGGATGACAGGAAAAATAGCTTCTCAGAATCTGTTGATTTTAGAAATTCATTGGTCTAGCCCAGTGGTTCTTAACCTTTGTTACTCGGATGCTTTTGAACTGCAACTCCCAGAAACCCCAGTCAGGACAGCTGGTGGTGAAGGCTTCTGGGAGTTGCAGTCCAAAACTCCTGAGTAACCCAAGGTTAAGAACCAATGGTCTAGCCAAATAACTTACATTAGTTTGGGCTTAATGGTTTCACAAAGAGATTTTGCAATTTAAGGCTTCAATTTTTATGTCCTTCCCTTATGTGATGCTACATATAAGGGATAACTATGCCTACCTTTTCTACATATAGAAAAGGTAGGCATAGTTATCAAGTTTAGTTCAAGCAGTTCCTTGGCCCTTCATAGATAGACTGTTCATGGTTTTCTAGAGTTGGCCAACCTTGTCAACAAGTTTCCATAATGGTGGTTGTGGGTTTTTCAGGCTCTTTGGTCGTGTTCTGAAGGTTGTTCCTCCTAACGTTTCGCCAGTCTCTGTGGTCGGCATCTTCAGAGGATAGGAGTCAGAACTCTATCTGTGCTCTGGTACAGTTTGTTTGGATAGTTGAGTATTTATAGCTGTGGGATCAGCTTTTGTCCTTTTCAGGAGATGGGTGATTGTGGTGATTGGTGTGTTTTTTGATGTGGGTGTATTGTTGTGATAAGAGGGAAAGATTATCTGTCACTCATCACACCCTTCAGAACATGGCAAAAGAGCCCGAAAAACCCACCACAACCATCAGATCCCAGCTGTGAAAGCCTTCAAGAATACAAGTTTCCATAAGTTTGTTATATTAGAAGAGAGAGCCAAGCATAAGGAAAGACAATTAGATGTCAGTGATTGGCTATACCAGAGATGCTAGTGGCCCAACTTTTCCTGTGAAATCCATGGTTCTCAGCCTGTTCAAGAGTTGATGTTATTCTTTCTATCACCCCATATGGAAAGCTTTTCCTGGAATGGTTTTTCTGGTTTCAGCAAAGCATGTGCTCTCTTTTGTCTATCCTAGTTCAGATTTCCTGATAAGCATCACGTCTTTTAGTCTAAATTTGCAGAACTCAACTGTGTGTTACTGTAATTATGACAGAAGATCCCTTTGCAGATTGATACAGATGCTCTGAAGAAATGCCTCCATGTTGAGGGGACGTGTTCAGTTTTACACTTCAGCTGCTTACACTGCTTAAGCTGCTTTTTAATTTAAATTTTAAATTCAGCATTTGCCTCTTCAGCATATGTTCTACAAGCATCAAATCCACATTTTCAGCTTTAAGGCACAATAGATTAGTGTTGTTTAAAATAAATAAATATTTACTGCCTTAAACATTTGTACTGTACTCTTTACTTGGAACATCTCCCAGAGTGGCTTACAAATCAATAAAAGCATGATCAGCACCAGCCTGCAGGTTTACATTCCAAAAAGCACGGGAAATAGAAAGAAAATAAGGAAAATAAGTTCAGTCTCTTTGGCAATGGGTGACTGTTTAAGAACCATATTTTGTAGTGGAGGTAGCATTCCTGTGATAAGTAGGAAAGAGAGCCATTTTGTCCCACTCCTCTGGTGTTCAGCTACAGATTAAGTGTGAGATTGAATCGCCTTATGCTAGCCTATATATAACAACTATAAATTTTATTAAGTCATTAAACTAATCTAGTTATATATCCTGCACAAGTGTTTTGCCCAGTGCTAAAAGTAATTTAAAAGGGAACTTGGCTCACTTCTTTCATACAATTTGGCAAGTTTCCTGATTGCTTAAAGCTGAGTTCCTTCCATGCAGGTAACTCTTTTTATTTATTTATTTCCATCTTCCTTTTTCTTTACTTCTTCCCATTTCAGGAAGTTTTGAATGTGGAAACCCACAGAATCTAGAAAGTAAATGTGTTCCAGTTAGTGAGGCGAAGGCATATACAGAGGTAAGCAAAGCTGGAATACATTTCTGTTGTTGTCTTAGTATTTGCAAATTACTGCCTTAAAAGAACCTTCCATTTGATTTTGCCTTTTTAATGGATTTCATGTGTTTATTACTTACTTGAGAAGTCTAAATAATATCTGGCTATGGAGCCAGCCTGAGTGGCCTTGGGCAAGCTGCAGGATGCCCCCAGAAGGAGGAAATAGTAATCCACTTCTAAGTGCTTTCTACCTGGAAACCCCTGAAAAGGATTGCCATAAGTCAGAATTGACTTCATAGTGTATTTTTGTTGCTAAAGACACAATCTTTGCCTGGTATTATGTAATAGATACAATTTTTAACCAAAAGTATCAGCTAAATGTCAGTGTAATATGTATGCTATTCCTAATGTTGCCATGTTTTACAGCTCTGATGGTGTTATTTCAGAGGTCTGCACTGATTATAATATGCTATAAAATTACCAGCATTGTTCCCAGTGTCCTCTCTTTTCAGGTTCCAAGGGACCTAGAGCTCCCTTTTACCCCCAGGGGAGCCTTTGGGAGTAACAGGACAGGAGAAAAACCTTTAATAGCCACAAATTGCTGCCACATCATCAGCACCAGGATCAAGACCATTGGCACTGATCTGGCAGCAATTTTTGACAGTTACAGGCTCTTCCATCCTTAAGTTCCCAAGGGAAAAAGCGAGCCCTAAGGAGCCCTGGAACCTGAAAAGAAGGAATAGGAAGCTTTCAATTGATTTGAATTAAAATTTCCCTTTCCTGCAGTATGATGTCACCCAGCTTCCATGGCATAACTTTAACCAAACAGGATTTTTCCCATTGTTGGGTTTTTTAAATTTGAGAAATGGACAGCTTCCTGTGCATTTCTCATTTCTTGCTTACAAAACAACAATACCACATGGCTTTCCCTCTACTTCGTTTTTAAATAATGTTGTGATTGTGCTATATTTGTATACTGTTACATTCTTTTATTATGTGTGTTCATGCATCATATATGATGACCAATATGTTTTGCACTGTTTTGTTGATAGAGGGGGAATTATGTCAGTGACAGTGAGATATTGCTGCTAATTTTAATGAGTTCCTTTTTCAGTTTTGGGGTGTACAGAACTGGTACACACAAGTTGAATGGAAAATCAAAAATAATAAGAATAATCACGTGCTGTTAAACAAGTTCTGACTTTTGGCAACCCTTTTCAGGGTTTTACAGATAGAGAATCCCTGATGTGGCTTACTGTTTTCTTCTGGGGGTGCCCTGGACTGTGCAGCCTGCCTGAGGCCACACAGGTTGGCTGTACTTGCAGGAGGCACAGTGAGGAATCATACTCCTAACCTCTAGCTCTGCAATCAGATATCTAAACCACTGAACTATCCAGCCAGTTTAATGAGCTGCAGTCTCTCACTGCCATTGACATTGCTTCTGCTGTGCTGGTGGAACTGTGCAAAAGGATACTGGCTGATCATCATAAAATTATAGCCATTGTTTGTTATGCCTCTTCAGTATTCTAACCAGTTACATGCATAAAACGAGTTTTTAAACGAGGTGTGCCATAGTGACAGGAGTAGGCTGAGATTAAGTTGGTCTAGATGAGAGCAACAGGGAATGTAAACTGCCTTGAATTCCATAGGGAGGCAACAGGTAGAGTTATTAATAAATTAAAGAAATTGTGGGAAGAAAATGAATTTACAGAAAAATCTCAAAGACAAATGCAAACCTTATGTTTGGGGACATGCTTCCTTACAGAATGTGACTGGCTATTCTGCAGAAAAATTTATGGATTCATTGCAGTGGTTATTGGACAATCCAAAGAACTCCGGAATATGGTAAGTGAATACGCATGACTGTGGATCCTTGTGCAAATTTGTTTAGGATAGTGTAATTGGAATAGGTTGAGACTAGAAAGATAACCAAAAGAAGACTTAGAGTAGTTCTGATATGCATGCATAGGCTTTCTTTGTAGCGTTCTCAAGTCTTTGGGAACCAGTTAATTACAAATATATACCTACACCTAACACTGTAAGTCACATTTGCTTAGCTTACCATTTGTTATTTCTTCATACCAGTCTGCATAACTTGAAACCTAACATGCTGAATGTAGTGCTCCAAATAATGAATAATCCACCTGCTGGTTCCCTGAGATGGCAAAGAAATGTGGATTGTTAGTCATCTGTCATGTCATAATATCTGCTAATAAATACATGCAGCTTACAAGTTCTGTGGGCTTGTCCTGGAAAGTGACTGGTTTATTACATTTGAGATAAATAGAATAATGTAGCCAAAGATTACATTGAATTGACATCCTAGTAAAAAAACTTATATCTCCTCACAGGACTCATGCTTTCAGACTCATAGCTGCAATTTAGGAATACTAACATCAGCCTAGCTTACTGAGTTGTTGTAATTAATTGTTGAGGTAATGTATGTAAAGACCTTCAATAAATGCTAAGTATTGCTGCCCAGTTAATTGGTTTTTCTTGCAAGCATTATCTTAGATGATGCATTCTTTTCTGAGTGTGAAAAAGGCAGAAACGCCTCTCCTAAGATAGTACATCTTATTTCTCATTTTTCTTAAATACCAATCATAAAAAAATATTTTTTCTTTAAAATGTTGCTGCCTAGCTAGTGAGTTGTACTATTTAGTTGATCAGGATATTTCAAATACGTTACGTCTTTAATTAAATATCACAAACCTAATTATATATTTCTAATTATTTTTCACCAACCGGATTTTTCTGAAAACTAGTGGGATAAACATCTTAGTCATAAATGACTAATTGAATCAGTGGTCCTATTCTAGTGTGATTTACTACAGTAAGCAACAGAATTTTGGCCCATATTTAGTACGTATCAATTGGCTGCCGCGCCTTTACTTAAGATCTCATTAGATCAGTCATGATATATAGGGGTTTAGTATGTCAAAACTGGGAAACCCGAGTCTCCAGGAAGATACACCTATTTCCCCTATACATTAAACAGCTGAGGTGGAGGTACACAGGTGACATCTGCTCTGTGCCCCCACCAGAACATGCAACAGAAATGCTTTTTCTTTTATGCTTAGAATAGTTCCAGTATACATGCATAAAGCTTGTCTGTGTTACTGCACTGAAGGTTCTTGTGTGCAAAGGACACATTACAAATATACATCCTTACATATCTATCTAAGGCTCTTTTCTTGTACTGTCTGAATGGCCATAAGTTGTGGAAGCATTTTTGCTGCACATGCTGCGGGGAGGGGCACAACCTTGTGGCCTGTCTCCCATAGCCCTTCAATGCATAGGGTTTGGTTCCATGTTTCTCCTTACTAATACCAGGGTATTCCTAGCTCTAATCAGGCATTACTTACCCAGTTCTCCAATACAAAAGTAGGGGAACTCCTAGCCCACAACTCTGCATCATTGCATTTTCCAACTGGAGAGCAATACCTTCTACAAAGGAAGGGTTCCTACTCTTGTGTAGGCTCTCCTTGTAGACAAGAGCCCTAGAAAATGGGGATTCTTATTTGCCTGGAGAATGTACATGTGAAGAACCTTTCCTCTGCAGACCTTGTGGAGAAAGGAGATGAAAGCCGAGGCTGGACATTCCCCCGCTTGCACATTGGAGAGGACTGGATAAGTCGCATCTGAGTAGGACTAGCTACAGTTCAGAAAATGACCATCTAGTCAACAAAGGAAGACACCGGGACCTTTCAAGACCTTCAGAAAAAATGTAAAACCGATTCAAGTTATCAGTGTCCATGGGAGGTATTCATTTACTGCTTTCTGTTTTAAATACTTGATGCCTTGGCACTTGATGTAAATGACAGGAGTATGAGCTCAGTTATGCTGTTCTTGGTTTCACATGGTTTGACAGCCAGGAGATTTGCATCAGCTGTCTTACACCTGGGCCATAATTAATGCTTTTTCTATCACTCTAAATGTGAAAGGAAAGCAAATAGGCAATTTGAAGGTTTTTCTGTTTTTGTTTTTGCCACGAGGGGGCAATCCACCATACTTTCTGCATTAAATTATCTTGTCTACCCATCTTAATTGTTTTTGTGTGATTAATTTCTTTTTATTTGGAATTGTATGTTTGAAATCTGTGTACAAAAGTCACTGTTGAGGTTTTCATAGGCCTGAGACAAATTAATTTTTTATAAATCTAGAAAGCCTTGTGTGATTTAAATGTAGTTGTTTTAAATGTTACAGTAACTTGCAACAGTATACTTTCACAACATATTTTACAGTACACTCGGTTGTGTATTTGTTTCATTATCATGGTTACAGTTGTAACCAAGAATCATGGGAGTTCCTGCTTTAATTCCTAAGCTCTTTTGGAACATTTCCTGGCCATTTATAAAACTATGATTTGAAGAGCTCTGTGGGAGAAACATTTCTGAGTGAAACAGCATCACACCCACTGAACATTCATAGTATAGATGTGCCCCCGTCAGCTTTTGCAATCTTTCACAATCCTTCACATTCAAATACCAGATTTTGCCTAGGTATGTTGCTCTTTTAAGGTCAGTAGGATTTATGCCTTAGTAACTTAGTACAGAATTTTAAGTTAGGAGATTTTAAAGGTTCTGCTGTGAAAAACAGCTCTGGATAATATTTTGAAAATGATTCCCAGGACTATTCCCTTGCTATGTTTTTATATAAGTCCATGTATTCCAGTGTCTCAGTTTAGTAGTCCTTATTAGATTTCAGAAATAATATGCCAATATTGTTAACTCTGTAACTGCTATGGAATCAGTTGGCAAGCCTGAGGCAGTAAGCAATAACAGAAATCCACCTCCTTCTCTAATCTCATTATCTAAAATTCTGCTGTAACCTAATGTTTGAAAATGTGTTCCTTTTCTTCATTCTTTGTATGTGAAGACTCCACAGTGCTAAACACTATTCCCTTAGGGACATACTTAGAATTGCTAGTGGGATGGAATTCAGAGCTTTCTAATTAAGATTTTCTTCACTGTTACAAGTCATAGCCTAGAAGCATAAAATACACTCCCCAGTTTTTGTACTCACTATAATTAAGAGTTTCATCAACACTTGAGCAAATTGATCCTGTTCTGGCAGCTCGATATAAAAACTCAATAGGTATGTACAGTGTTCTAAAAAGTTGCTGCAGGATTTTCAACAAATGTTGTGTGAACTTATTTGACACTGTTCTGTTAAGAGCGGAACCAAATAAGACAACCATGCTTTGGTAGTAGTGCTGAATATTTTAAGATCTTTAGAAGCTTGGACTATAAATAATCCAAAAACAGTGGGCAAAAAGTCCACTGGAGTATAACATGGATGCAGGAGTTTATTTGTGCTCTGCCATGATTTCTTAGAATTGGACATTGTATGTACTTGGAACAGTTTTGGATGTATACTTAGCTGAAAGCCCTGCCTCAGATTCTACTCCCTTGTCTCCCATTCACTGTTTCTTCTTCCTGCCTGGAGCTTCTTTTTCTCAAATTGCCAAACTGTATCCCATATGTTGTGACTCCCTTCTTGATCTTCCCTCTGTTGTGAGTTCTGAGAACAGTGAGGCACTGGTAGTCAAAAGGAACAGAGAGCACAAATTATTATCAGGTAATGAAATCATACAGGGACGTGGTGGCACTGCGGGCTAAACCGCAGAAGCCTGTGCTGCAGGGTCAGAAGACCAAGCAGTTGTAAGATCGAATCCATGCGATGGAGTGAGCTCCTGTTGCTTTGTCCCAGCTCCCGCCAACGTAGTGGTTCGAAAGCATGCAAATGCAAGTAGATCAATAGGGACCACCTCAGTGGGAAGGTAATAGTGTTCCGTGTCTAAGTCGCACTGGCCATGTGACCACGGAAGATTGTCTTTGGACAAAACGCTGGCTCTATGGCTTGGAAACAGGGATGACCACCGCCCCCTAGAGTCGGACACGACTGGACAAAAATTGCCAAGGGGAACCTTTACCTTTAATGAAATCATGAGGGCTACCTTTAAACTACTCATCTCATTGTGAAGCATGATGTGTCTCTTAAATGTTGGGCATTTTTCATATGCTTTTTTAAAAAGCATTTTCTCAAAATGTAACAAGTTTAATTCAAATGTACTTATTTAAATACGTCTCCAGCTATATTGACTGCTACCGTTTATTTCAAGGAAAAAAAGACCAGCATGAACCAACACACACCATTGCCTGCTCTCTGTGCAGCCGCTGGAGGAGGGAATCCAATTTAAAAGTTTAATCTCCTGCACACTGAGAGGTGTTAAAAAATTTTTTTTAGAAGAGGATTCCTCTTTGCCAAATGGTAATCCTAGCCTGCACAGCCTTCCAGAGTCAATGCTGAAATGGTCTGTAAAGATCAACAACACAACTCAGTTGTCTTGTAAATGGTGTGATGGACGACTGAGCAGCCTTAACATGTTTATAATCCTGAATAATATGGGCTGTCAAATTGTTTGTATTTTATATATATAAAAGGAACTTTCTATTTTTTCCTTTCAGGTTACAAGGTGATGAGCCTTCAGAACCAATTTTGACTGCAAGCCAGGTGGTTTGTCTTGAGTCAACCCGTCCCCGGATGAGCTTAGGTTGCCGTTTCCACCGGGCACTAAGCACAGCCATTACAAACCTATTTATATTTTTTTGGAGTAAGTTTGTTTGCTTGTCAGCCAAGGTCTCAGTCTTGACCGATATAATAATTAGCACTGTGATTTAACAGCGGGAAGCACTCTAGAGTATGGCTGTTGTGCTGGGAGTGTTTGCCATTTCTGAAAAGAAAGAAAAAAAAACCTTTGCACCTCAGTGTGTCGTAGGTGCATCCTGTCATTTAGCTAAGTGAATTCTGTCTTTATTTTTATGTATTTTTTACCCCACTTTACTCCTTAAAAAGCATCCAAGGCAACTTACCTTATTAAAAGATAATATTTAAAGCTAACAACAGCGGGTATACAAATACAAAAAGGATGAAACAAATACTATACTAAAAAAATATAAGTAACACCAAAACACATTCAAAGCGTTAAGGTACAACAGTACATTTCAAAACTTACTTAGGCAGTTAATCACTCATTAAAAGCTTTCCTGAAGAGAAAGGTCTTTGCTTGCAGGAGGACAGTAAAGATGGGCCCAGGCTGATCTCTCATGGGAGAGAGTCTGGGAGCAGCAATAGAGAAGCCCCTCTCTTGTATTGACCAAAGGCCGCTGTGAAGGTGGTGGGACTGGGAGAAAGGCCTCTCCTGATTAGCTTAACACTCAAGCAGGCTCATAAAAGAGATGCTATCCTCGAGATAGCTTGGGCCCAGGCCTATTAAGGATTTCTAGTTAGAACCAGCACTTTGAATTTAGCCTGGAAATGCATCAGCAGCCAGTAACATGTGTGTGAGTGTGTGTGTGTGTGAGAGAGATGTGGTCCCTGTGTACTGCTTTTACCCTGCTTCCAGTTGCAGTAGTCATTATCTTCCATTTAGCCATTGCTGAGGTATCTAGAGGGATTAAGACAGGAATTGACCACTGAGGGCCCTTCCAGATGATGATGGACTGCAGCTTCCAGTGTTCCTCACCATTTAGTCTGCTGGCTAGGGTTGATGGGAATTGCAGTCCAACAGCATTTGGAAGGCCACATATTGGCCATATTTGTTTAGACAATAGAATAGTTCTGGCACACATTGAGTGTAGGGGAAATCCCTTGCAGAACATGTTGTATGACCATGATGTAGAGAGATTAAGAAAAATCACCCTTCTGTTTTTAGGAAATCAGTTTGCTATGGTGAATATAGTTTTGCACTTAGAAATGAAGGATTCAAATTTGCATTCAGTCATAAAGCTTGATGACTTTGGGCCAACTACCATAAATTGTAAGACTAACAATTTATGTAAGACTGAAATGGAATAACCTCATGTTGACTGCTCTGAGTGTCTTTTTTTGAAAGAACAAACTATTGTGGTGACCTGCCAAGCAATGCAAGGTTTATTTGAAATATGTTTTCATGGACTATACCCCATTGCATTTGAAAAACTGAGCTATGATCCATGAACTTACACCACATCAATGTATTCATCTATAAACTGCCACTAGACTTTGTTTTGTTGCAACTGACTTGTATGGCTCTTCCCTTAGCAGTTAAATGTATATGTATACTGAAGCATAAATATACGTACAGTCTTAACTGCCAACTCTAATGTGGTTTTAAAAGGAAAACATTTATTTTTTAAAAATTGCAAGTATTATCCAAGTTTTGTTTTTGCTTTTTTGGCTGTGCAGTAGAAAAAAGTTGTATGGTTGTTTATGCAGCCACCAAGAACATCTCTCTTAAAGTGGGTGAATGGATTAGAATTTTTAGAATTTACTAAATTTTAGTGCACATTTTTGATTTGTTGATACTTAGGACTGCAGTGGAACTTGGATATGCCTGCAGAATCCTTTCTGAGAGCCTGACTTGCAAGGCCATCTATTTGTATTTACAAGATCCGATCTTTGCTTCCTCTCAATAGGTTTAGCTTTTCTTTGGGCAATTCTGATTCTTCTGAAGTATTACTGGCGGAAAAGAGAAGAAGAGGAACAAGCCATGTATAAAATGGTGCAGAAAATCATAGGTAAAGTTCATCTGCTGATGAAAATATAAATAAAGCATGCTCAATTTTCTGTTAATTGCATACTTTTCTGATGGTTTGCTTTGTTCTTTCCATAGCTGCTGTCCAGGGTCATTATAAAGAATGGGAGCAGAAATTGGAGCGGTACCCTTACGTCGGTATCCTGCACATCAGGGATACACTTATTCCACCACAGGATAGGTGAGCCTGTCTTTTTCCTTACCTAGGACCATAAATAAATTTAGAGTGTAGGTGGTGCTTCTTTGTGCCCAGCCAGTTGTCCTTAGGAACCAAGGTACAAAAGCAGCCTTGTGTTTGTCACCAGCATCCAACACACATAAAAATGTTTTCCTTTGTGCACATGGCTAATGATCATTGAAAGACCACCCATTTATGATTTTGTTTTGTTTTTTGAAGTCATCTATGGTGATGGCCTTTGTAACATCCATATGCTTCTTGAGGTGAATGTTCATTAGATAGAAAACATTTTGTTCTGTTTGACCCAAAGCTTCTGCAGGCAAGTTTCCCCTCAAAGTCCTATAATTTGAATACTTTCAGGGAGCATAAATTTAATTTATGATAACACAAATTGAGGAGCAGTCTAATTCTTTATTTTGGATTTTCACTGATTCATGATTGTTGCTGTTGTCTCTGTCCTGTAATTAGTAGACCTCATTTTGCTCCTCAGTTCCCAGCTCATTCTGAATACCAAGTTAATTACCTGACTTTGGATGAAGTCCTGTTGTGCTGCTCTGCAAAAGGCAGAACGTGAATTGCCTCTGTCAGCAACCCATCTCCTAAGAGAAGCCATTCCACTAGAGCAGTGGTCGGGGAACAGGGGTAAATTACCCCAAATGGGGTAAAAGTGAAAATCCTGGGGGTAATGAGCAGAGCGCTACCCCCTCTTCCTCCCACCCCCACCCCTGTAGCCAAAACTCAAATTGTAAGCCACCTCTCCCTGTTACTTCCTGGTTGCAGCAGGCACTTGTAAATCCTCTTTTAGTTCAGAGATGGGAGATAAGCCTGCTTAATTGGCTACAGCTGTGGAATAGCCCTGAGCAATCAATCAATCCGGGGCTTTGAATGACTACTTCCTCCGTAAATGAATGCAAGCAAGCAGGAGGTGAGAAAGATCAAGTTAACAAGGGGAAGGAAGGTGTAAGAGACCGAGGGCTTCATCAAGCTTATTTAAATGTATGGAGAAAATGGATGGATGGAGAGTGGGTGGGTGGACATGTGTGTGTTTGTGTGTGAGGGAGAGAGACTGACTCAAAACTATGAAAAAAGAAACAGGCAAGGCTTAAGGCAGGAAAAAAGGGTGGAGGGAGGATGTGTGTTGTTGGTTTATATAAATGGGGGGGGGGGGAGGTAAAAAAGTTCCCTGACCCCTGCACTAGAGGAAGGAGCCAAACTGTAGTTCCCAACATCCACCACCTTTTTCCTTAGACTGGATGAGATCTAGAAAGTGCATGACTGGGCAACTATGGGCAGACTTCTATCCCTAGATTTCCAGTTACTCTCTTATTTAAGCTTCTTAGCTGTGTACTTTAAACCTTGCACACCAGCCTTACCAGGTAGGACAGCCAACAAAAATAGCAAACATAGCCCTTGTGACTAAGACAATTTCTTTAGGCACTCATACTCTTGCCCCCCAAGAATCACACTTGAGTAAAATATAAAAGGTTTATTTTAAAGAGTAAAAAGTTATAAAATAAAAAAAAGAAATACAAAAAGATACAAATTGTACTGGTTGAATGCCAAGCATCTAAGTATTAAGTAAGCTCCCATTAAGACTTTCCTATAAAACAATAAAATACTTACTAACTAATACTTTTACTAATCATCATCATCATTCTTTATTACCGTCACAGACCAGCAGTTTTCATAGCAATCAACAAAAACTGAGACACCCTGTCAGTAATATATAAATGGATGCACCCTCTAAGCAGGACAATAACAAATCTAATTACTAATTATTACTAAGCTATTCTAAGTCTCCAATCAATTAACAAAGGCTGTAAACCTGTTGTCCATTTTCTCCTTCACCAACATACACTCACACACACAACTACTCTTAACCCCCCTTCTATAACTTACATTTTATCTATTTTATTAGATTGCCCATCTAGACCAATGGTCTGCTCTGGGCAGCATTATAACATTTAAAAACAATAGAACCAATAAACATGAAAAAATCTAAGATGTAAAAATGTAAATACAGCAGGAGGGAAAGCCTGCCTAAATAGCAATGTCTTAAGTTTATTTCTAAAGACACCCAGAGAGGGAGCCAGGTGGATCTCCACAGGCAAGTTGTTCTGAGGCGAGGGCCACTACCGAGAAGGCCCAGTTCCTCGTTCTTTCCTTCTGGGCCTCCCTCGGCGTTAGGTCCCTCAGTCGCCAGACCTGGCTAGAATGAGTGTCTCTGTCAGAACTGGGTGGGAGAAGGCGCTCTGCCAGATATCGAGGTCCTGAACCAAATCAAAGTTTCTTCTTCATGATGGTATCAAGTCAGCATACAGTCCTTTGTGCACATTTCCACACCCAACTTGTAACTTTCCACAGCTCCTTCTCTTGTTCCCAGGCTCGAACATCATTAGCAAGGAATGGCCTTTGCTCTTTTTCACAGAAACAAATAGATCTCTGGTCAAGACGAAACACCTGCAGGGCTTGAAAAACAAACACTACAAAACCCATATCCTCACAGCCTCAGCTTAAGAAATCTCTGTAGAATTACATGTTGCATACTGAGTTGCACAACTCAGTGTACAATATATAATGTTTGTGGAGATTTCTTAAAATCCTGTGCTGTCATGTCAATTCTAACTTTTCAGGGTTTTCCAGGTAGATGCTATCAGAAGTGGTTTACCATTTTCTTCTTCTGGGGGCATCCTGAGATTGTGCAGCTTTCCTGAGGCCACACAGGCTGGTTCTACTCGCTGGACGCACAGTGGGGAATTGAACTCCACAGCCAGATACCTAACCACTGGCAATTCATCTCCAGATATTACACCTTTTGCATAGTAATACAACAGGATTTCAGGGAACGTTTGTTACTGGATGCAGCACTAAATAGTGCCGAATCCCACTGCATTTGCTCTCCTTCCACCCCACATCACACCACTATTGTCCCAGGGTCTGTTACTAGGACTTAGTGATTATTGCCATTCCTGAGCTTCATTTTGTTGTACATAAGTGGAGGCCATTTTTAATCTGTGTGCACCATGTCCTAATTCACAGACCTCTTACATGTGCTACTTCTATTTCCTTCACCTTTTCTTCAGTCCTTTAGGCATTGTTATATGCAAAAAGGTTTGGCTTGGATTATTATGTTTCTTTTTTATTTTCACAGGAAAAAAATGAAGAGAGTTTGGGACCGAGCAGTGGATTTCCTTGCTTCCAATGAGTCACGGATGCAGACTGAGTCACATAGGGTAGCAGGAGAAGACATGCTGGTGTGGCGTTGGACGCAGCCTTCTTATCTCTCTGATTCTGATAATTAGCCCTCAGCCAAGGCTATGCTGATGTTTTTATACTGTGCAGGACAGTACATCCCCTTCTTGTTAAGGAATATCTTGTGGTCTATACTCAGGTGTACCCTGACACTGCCGTCCATGTATCCAAGAGAAATGGAATGACCTTCAAGGGTAATGATTTTCTGTATGGAGTATAAAAGCTTTGATGTGCAGGGACACATCAAAGCTACTTTTCTGACATATATTTGGCTTCTGTGGTGCAGCGTTTGAAAAGCGTATGGCTTGCCTAAATGAAAAATTCCATTGGTTGTTTCACTCTGATATTGTGAAAGACAGTGCATAATCTTCCCCTCAGAATGTCAATGCAAAAACCACTAAAGGATAATTTTAAAGAGAGGCTTTTTTTGTTATGGAAGTGCCCTGGCTAGGAAGAGGAAGCAGATGTGAAAAGTGTATTTATGCTTCCAAAGAGACCAGGAATCCCATCTGCTTCTAGAGTACCAGCATCTGCATGTAAGGGGACATGTGGGACTGAGAGGGCTAGTTCATGTGCCTTTGGAGACAAGTTGAGTAAAGTGGGTGGAGTTTATAGCAAATTGCAGGTATTATGTTTTTTGTCTAGACAGTGATACGATTATATTAGCTCAGAGAACTTTTTGTTAGCTCAGAAAATGTAACTGAGCGCACTTTTGTGAAAAAAACTTGGAAAGCATACAATTAAATGACATCCCTGTATTTATGAATGGCTGTATTTCAATGTTGTATGCAGTTATAAAAAGCAGTTAGGGTGCCTACAATGTTTGATGACAAAACAAAATGGTTTCACTGTTCAGTATTTAGCAATACTGCAATGGATTGCAGGCCGTTGTCTAGCAATACAGAAACTTGGTTTGTGCATATACTGTCTTAATCATTCCATGTCCATCTTCTCACCAATTTGTTTTGGCAAAACTGCTCCGAGATAGCATGTAGTAAAACTCCATGGACCTCTGCTGCAGCATCATAAACACTGGGGCACTTGCATGACAACGTAGCACTCCAAATTTGGCTGTACACTTTTCACCTGGTCATAGTGAACTTAGCCCTCTGTCCAATGGATTTAGGTAGAGTATATATGAATTCATAATATATGCACACATGAACTGCTTGAGGCAAACTTGGTTATGCAACCTTTTGACACTGGTTTTTCCTGAACTGGCTTATTTATTTTGATCGAGTAGTGGTCTAAACTTGAATTTTGCCCTTCTGCTCCCCCTGCTGGCAGTATTAAAACATTGATGGATTGGAGTTTTTGCCAGCTGTCCTTTGAGGCTGTCTCAGCAGCAGATAGCAGGCAATTCATTATATGCCTCCTGCTGGTTAATCAGCTGAAATGGGTGGAAAGAAATGCAGCTTTTTTTAAAAAAAGCACTGGAAGGTCTTATTGGTTAAGTAGGATAAAATCCTGCATTCAGTGGAGTTTTATCCCCACATGTTTCCATCTGTAATGTAGGTGGTGTTATTAGAACTAAAAATGACATTTAACAGATGTCTCCAAGACAATTACCCATCTTGATACATGCACGTACATCCCTCTTATATGGTTTAAGGAGATAATCAAATGAAGGTAATCCCTTCTTTCTAGTGGCTTCTTAATTTCTGCTGAAGTTTGCAAAACCTTCCACAGTGCCTAGAGTTTTAGGGCTTTAAGGAAAAACATTTGTGGGTATTTTTTACCATCTGATTCAAGAGGAAGTGTGTGTGTGTGTTTTGTATGGTTGATTAAGCTGTTCATTTATTTTTTATGTAGATGGGCTGGTGCTATTTATTATACACTATGACTCTGTACATTTTATCTTTCAAAATAAAAATTTGTTACAAACAGGACTGTTGGCAATTGGTTTCCTCCCCCAAGTCAAACCCTGGCATTTTAATTCCCTGGATATTTACTGCTGGAACATTGCTGAACTTCATCTGATTATACTGAATTACAGTATATCAGGAGAGCACAATGGCACTATTAAAACTAAGGTTCTGGGAATCACAAGGGCTAAACACCAGTTTTTGAAAGCAAACCGTAACCTTTCCTGCTTTCAGGCTTATATAGAGGAGAGGAAATTGAGTTTTTCTCCTATATGCATGGTTGAAAGTGCTTTGGAAGGACAATCTCTACTCATTAGGTATACTCTGATCATTTTGCCCATAAACAGGCTTTAGTGGCAAAATCTTCCTCTATTAAACAAGCCCAGGTGTTAAATAATTTTGATCAGAGGTAATGGGGAAATATAATCTCAAACCATTTTCAAATCTATTAAAACTTAGTTGTTCCCAGTTTAAGTCTGTTCTCCAGGATGTGCTGGGACTTCGCTATTTTAAAGCTAAGGTTTTTTTATGTTTTTTAGTGAAGATCTTCAGAATGAAATACAAATAAAGACCTAGAACACAGAGAGCAGTGGTTTCTCCAAGTGCCCCATGGGAGATTTGAATCTAAGCAAAGTAACCTATTCACCACACTTGAACAAAGTAGCTTTTGTTCTAGGTATATTTGGAGCCCGCTCCTAGGAATGCTGTGCTTGGCCCCCCTCCCAATTTTTTAAAGACTTCTGAAAACACTGCTTTTTAAAGGAGCCTTTTGTTGCATTTCTGCCTGATTTTTTTGCTTTGAAACTGGGCCTCTTGTAATTTGTTTATTGTCTGTTTTTATTTATAATTTAATTGCTGTTGGGCTTTATTTTGAAATGTTGTAAACCACCCAGAATAATGCATCACACTAATGGGGCAGTATATAAACTAAAGAAATAAATACAATGTGGAAAGAAATCAAGGACATGCTACTGAAAACCAGTAGAAAGTGCCTAAAAAGGAAGTTGAAGTGAATTTTTATTGCAGCTTTTGTTCTTTGAGCAATGTCGAACAATGGCTGAAATCCATTGTTGCAACTAGAGTAGGCTCATTAGATCAGTGGAATTGATGGAGGAGTCGACTCACCAAATCCCCACTGATTCAGTGACCTATTCTAGTTGTGACTTATTACTGGATTTTAGCTGATGAATACAGACAGCAAAGGCAAAGATACTGATCCCCACCCTCCACAAGCTAGCTTAGGTTAGCTTCTGTTCCTACTTGCAGACCATCCTGATCTACTTTGCAAGCAGCAGGTGTGGGATTGAAGACCATTGTGTAGTTTTACAGTAGTTTTAAAAAATGCCTTGTGCTTGAAAAGTAATGGCTGCTTTGCTCTGTTGAGAGCTCTTTTAGTACGTCTGTGTGTAAGATGCCCTTAATGTTTCTATATCTTTTCAAAATGCTAAAGGCCTTAGAGATGTTGATGTGGTTTAAATGTGTTTCTGTAGGAGAGGCTCCTATCGCATTAACAGGATGCATGTTCCAGTCTTTAAAAAAACAAAGTTGTGTGGTCTTTGTACACAATAGGAAGACTTTTATTAGATCACTAAAAAATTGCAAACATAAGCCAGCTTTTGACTCTGCGTGAGTCTTCATCAGACTGGCAATGGATTTAGGAATGTCTGTACAGTATATCTGCTGTTCTAAACCCTCTGTATTGCTCAGCCTTATGCAGATTCATGCAGAGTCAAAAGCTAACTTACATTTGTGACAGTCTTCACTGGCTGGATAGCTCAGTGGTTTAGATACAGTGGTGCCTCGCTTAACGATTGCCTCGTTTAGCGATGAATTCGCATAACGATGTGTTTTTTTAGAAAATAATATGCACCGTATAACGATGTTTCCTATGGGCGATTTTCGCTTAGCGAAGTTTGGGACCATGCTTCGCATAACAAATGCGATTTTAGGTCCCCTGCTTCACTTAACAATGTTTCTTTTTTCAATTAAAAAAGTGTCTTAGAAGGGTCAAAAACGGTTCTAAATGCTTGGATTCGTTAGAGGACCCCCTAAATCATGTGCAAACCTGATTTGGCTTTGATCTGACTTTTCGTTAATTTATGGTTAATTTTTTTTTTCGGCCCATAGGAACCAATGGACCTGTCAAAATCTGACAGCTCCATGCTTTCCTATGGGGGAGAAAACAATTCGCCATAAATTA